AAAAACGAAAGTGAATAACTGTTTGAATTAATAATGAAAATGTAAGCAAATGTTAAGTTATAATTTATATGTATATATAGTACCATTGTAAACTTAAAAGTATATAAGATACACACTTTATTTAACACTATACATCTACATAAGTGTTAACAGTTTTTGAAGCACCGAAGGTGCTTGTAAGATGTGCAGTCTCTGCCAGAGGGGAGGATACAAGTAATTTCCATATGAATGTTAAGAATTTTTTCAAGTAGACTGTAATTTATTTTATATCTAGCAATTAATATGAATTTCAGATGTCGAATAAAGGGCTTTGTATCGTAGGTTTTTCTGGAAAGTTATAGTCTGGTTCGATGGTTTTCAAATTATTCTGACTCGCGGCTCCAATCTCCGGTTAATAATGCTAAGAAAGATATATATATCTTTATGAAACAAAATAAACAACACTCTAGATAGTACCAGACTCTCTTTCTATCTAAGAATAATTGGCATGTTTGTATTCTAATTAAATAATATAAAGTTATTCGGGAATTAATAATCCTCAGGGAAAAATACTATACACATCTCATTTTAAGTAAATACAGTACAATTATTTTGATATGCCAAATATACATGAGATATTTTTCTTTTGTTTTACGGCTAAATTCGCAATTAGTATAAATAATTCAAGAGTAACCACAAAAGAGAAGGAAAAATATCTGTAAAAAAATAACACGAGAATCATAATAGTTAAACAATTATAAGAAGAAAAACTTTTAACAAAATAGATAATGCATTTTTCATGTTCAATATAATGTTAAATCTCGTCGCCAAATATTTCATTTAAGAATAAACGTCTACACATTTCATTACATTTCTAACTACATTAGGTCGAACAAGTGGCTCACTCAAGATTTAATCTTGGAAGAGCTGAGATGAACATATTAAAATATTTTTAATGTAAATTTCATGAAATCTTACTTAATGTGACAACTAATTCATAAATAATAGTTTATAACTAAACGACATAACACAATATTAAAAAAAATTTTAATTAAGATAATTTTTTCGAAAATTTACTAGTATTTTCTTTTTTATTCATTTTGTGGAGTGCCACTAAAAAAAAGCCCCACTTGAAAGCCCCACTAAGTTCAATTAGTACAGACAATATCTAAGAAACTGTACGTGCGAGTAATTGCGGTCGTTGCGACACGATATCAAACGTCGGGTTTACTTTTGAATTGACCACAAATAAGCGGTAATATCATAATGTCGTGCTTTACTGAATTTTTAATAAAATTCATTTTAAATTGTAATAATTATCCTAAGAAGTTTATAAAGTATTAACCACCATCAATCGAGTTTAGTCTTTTATTTTTTTAAATTAAAATAGCTAAATATGAACAGAATGAATCATTCCATTTTCAGGTAAATCATAATTCAATGAATTTTTTTTATATATAAACCCGTAAAGCATAGGCCTATACAGAGTATGCAATTTTAAAATGCACTTTTAGAGAAAAATTTAGGAACGGATTATTCTTAATTTACAATTATTATTCTAGAATATTTTTAGTTTATAATTTTATAAAAGCTATTATATTAATCTATTTTTAGATGGCCTGGCAGTCAGTAACCACAAACTTAAATGAGAAGATTGCTTATTTACGAAGCATATGTTAGTTTGAAAGTTACTAATAAGACAACGTGCGCAACATTCGATAATTATATAAAAATTTCCCTAGGCATATACACAGAAAATAGTTCGAAAAAAAAGCGATGATGTTCCTGTATATTTACAACGTCCAGTTATTGTGAAGCAAAATGAAATCTGCGAAATCGTTCTTCGTCCTCAATTATTTCCAACGGGGTTGCATCCGAACTTTGTGTTTTGTAGATCACACTGTTCTCTTTCAAACCAATTTGAAAGAACATCTTTTAATAAAACTTCGGGTCATTTTAGTGCAATTATTGCAATAATTATGTAATACTTTTAATTAAAATAAATTGTGTGATTATTATTGAATTTCTAAAACAATAATGTATTGAAAAATGTGTTTTGTATACTTAGTATTTCTAATGTTTTTAATAGTATTTAAATAAAAACATTATTAATTATATAATTTAATTTTTTGAAGAATATGAAGAACGAGGAACAATGTTTCAATTAACGGTCCGAAAAAAGGCTACATCTTATTAAAAGTGCCTATGACTGGTTGAGTGTTAAAACCAGCAAACACTCGTAGTTGGTTGGGGGTTTGTGCTGACTAAATGCTATATAGTTTTCAGGGTTTGATTAATGTTAGTAACACTTAAATTGGGGTGAGCTTCAAACTAAAGTCCTCCTGGGAGGCAGATCGTCGACGTGTCGCATTGCCGTAAACAAATAGACCAAAATATACCCAAATATAATACCACTATTTCGTCTATAAAATATGTGTAATGTTTCTTTCAACTCTCTATTTATGTGGGCATACTTTTCACGTAGTTTATATGCATTCATATAATATTATTAATCACGATTCACAAAGACGGATAGTTTCCCAAATATCCAAAGCTAACCGCTAGCTGAATATTGAACAAACCACACCCGCAGAGATAAATGACCTATAATCTTTTACTAAAACGAACTACTGAGTCATTTTTTCTATCTTATCTCAGTTCAATAATCACAGTTTACTGATATTAACGATAAATCGATTGGAAATGCAATTTCTATAAAACATTAAAGACTTATTTTATATATAGTTCAACACATTACGTTATTTAATTAACAATCTTCCTTTCGTGTAATGATTTTCTAAAGAATACCGAAGCATCTACGTAATTAATTGTTGTATAAATCGAAACAAAGAAGTTATCCGTTGTACAGTACGTTCGTTTAGATAAGCCTTTATAAAAACGAAAGTGAATAACTGTTTGAATTAATAATGAAAATGTAAGCAAATGTTAAGTTATAATTTATATGTATATATAGTACCATTGTAAACTTAAAAGTATATAAGATACACACTTTATTTAACACTATACATCTACATAAGTGTTAACAGTTTTTGAAGCACCGAAGGTGCTTGTAAGATGTGCAGTCTCTGCCAGAGGGGAGGATACAAGTAATTTCCATATGAATGTTAAGAATTTTTTCAAGTAGACTGTAATTTATTTTATATCTAGCAATTAATATGAATTTCAGATGTCGAATAAAGGGCTTTGTATCGTAGGTTTTTCTGGAAAGTTATAGTCTGGTTCGATGGTTTTCAAATTATTCTGACTCGCGGCTCCAATCTCCGGTTAATAATGCTAAGAAAGATATATATATCTTTATGAAACANGTGCACCATGGGCCATAGACAACAGAGGTGAATGATAGATGCGATATGTTTGGGCAAATAGTTGGTCAGTGGTTGCAAGTCTGACTGCCCAGATAAACCAAGAAGCTACCAAAAGTGTCTCCTCAATGACAGATCAGCAATCGTTGCTCTGTATGAGTCTCTGCAGCAGATGCATGGTTAAAGTAAGTCAAGTTCAAAATCCACACATACGCCAGTTAATTTCAAAACTTGTATATATATATTGAAAGTAAACGTATGTACAGTTATAAAGGTTCACAAACAAACATTTACAAAACGTCAGATGTTAACAAAGCTCAACACATTTATTCACTACAACAGGTCCGTCGAAAATACATCTTGCGACGAACTAACTCTAAAGTCATTTACAGCCCAACGAGACGAAACAATCTTCGGGGCCAGCTTAGGCGAACTAAAGTGAAACGTGAGTTCCCTTCATGCGTCCAAGGCGAACTGAACTTCCCGTCATAACTCAATCCTTTTATATGGATTGAAGCCGAATTGGATTCCCCCAATCAGCGCTTCGCAGCGCTACACGACGTCCGCCGATGGTCCGATGTCTCTCAACCAATCAGCAGTAGAGTCTTCAAAAGTGGTCCGATTGCCGTTTCTATGGCGACATAATCGTTCGTCGAAAGAATGGAAAAGCGCGGGAAATCGCATGACAGACGATTTTTATCCCGACAATGTGCAACAATGGAAGTGTTAACAATAGAAGTGTTAAGAATGGAAATGTTAACAATGGAAGTGTTGAGCAACAAAGGAAGTGTTAATATAAAACGGAATGCAAGATTTACAGCCGGTTTTTTTTTTGCGTTTTTGCGGATCCTTGCAGCTAGATTCTAGATTACTTAGAAAAACAGTCTTTTATATATAAAAAAACTATATCACATACAAATAAAAACCCAGCGAAGCGGGTCCTTGCAGCTAGTTATAAATAAAATAGTAAAAAAATTCTATTCAAATTTCTATACTATACTACTCGCAATAATTACTTAATAATATACTGTTATTCAACTTCGAAATATAATTATCAAAATTATTTAACTTCAGTAAATAAACTCCATTAACATTTTGAAACAAATTATCGTAATCGATTCTTATGCAATTTACGAATAGATACTTAGTCCGTAGCAACTCTACTTGTTCCAGAACAAAATGCAAACAGATCTTACTAAGACGTTTTCCTTTAACAAAGAACGTTCGAACAAAATGTATACCCATACATTAGACCTACATTAAATCCACACATGTCCCTTTTGTATATTTTTTTCTGTTCAAATAACCTTACTTTTATAAATTTTCAGAATTTGGAGCATTGATAAGAAGTGCCTTCAAGTATTGCTTCAACATTTCTGATAAGAAAAAAGAGCTGGATACAATTAAAAATATGGCGCTATCCTTAAGATATAAAAGTGCTGTGATTGAAAAATTAATTCCCAGTATATTCAACATTTGCATCAAGTTCTTTCGATGAAATTCCTTTTGCACAATCTATATTTCATGCATATCTAGAAATATCCAATGAATAATTAATGAAAATCACTGCAAACCTCTTTGTTCTTTTCACTATACGTTTGATAATGTCAAAGAAGTAATTTTATCTGCTTTTTATAGTTTTCTTATGCTAACAATCATGCACAATAAAATAATTTTATATAACAATTGCTGAATCTCAATTATTCTATTGCATTGTTGTTCTTTCATCTCATCAGAATTTATAAACTGAATTTTAGAATTTAGAACATTAATACTTTAAATGAAATCAAACGAGGTAAGTGAAAGTTTAATTTCAATTCATTTGTAAACCATTATTTATATTTCGCAAACTTTTATATTCGAAATTGCGACAACAGAGTAATTTAGAATTGTAATGTTACATCGAAAAATACATATATTTTACTATTATGTTTTTATATAAGTACAAAATATTTACGATAATAATTAGAAAAATTAATAATTTTTAATAATTACATAAAAAATATTTTAAAAAGAATGAAGAAAAGGAATATCAATGCAATAAATGTGGAAAAAGATTCAAGTATAAACATATTTTAGAAAATCATATAAGAACTCATACTGGAGAGAAACCGTTTGTTTGCAATATTTGCGATAAACGATTTTCACAGTCTGGAATTTTAATAAATCACAGAAAACTACATTCAGAAGAACGAAAATTCAAATGCAATTATCAAAGCTGCACGTACGATACTAGATATAAAATGAATTTGCTAAGACATGTGAAAAAAACACATTTAGAAGCAAAATCATCTCAAGTGATTATTATTATTATTATGTTTTTATTTTTGTTATTTAAGTCCGTAAAGTTTACTGTTAAAAATATAAACTATAATTATATGATAGAGTGCACAAAAATATAATAACCTATGTTTTCAATAATAAACGAAACACTCTTTTTTAAGAAAACATCGAAAAATACTTACTATGTTTTAAAGAATTAAATTATTTCTCTCGTTACCGCTTTTATATTTTGAATATATATTCAAAATTTAGTCAATGAACTCAAATAATAAAACTTTCATTCTTGAAAAATATGATTATACAACAAAATCTAAAGGAAAATACGTGTAAATCAACTTATTGTCATTTATACAAATAAATATAAATGAAGTAAAAAAGGAATAACGTAAACTTTTAAGTACAGTCCCTTTTAAATGTTAAATTAATTAATATAATCAACCGTACAATTACTAAATTCTCTCCTGCAAACAAAATATAAATGTTCACTTTGTTATAGCATAATTTAGTATTTATATTTTATTGTAAAAAAAAAAAAATAACTCGTGTCCATCTTTGTTAGTTTTTTATAATTTGGATGCAATTTGAAATAATTATAAAATTATAAATTTCCTATGTCGTCTGTCCGTGCGGCTGTCTGTCTTTCCTGATTCTCGATAACGGCGTTAGATAGATGAACGCTTAGACAAAATGTGGAAACCACAGGGGCATAAAGCCCTATGGTTTCTATAGTTTGTATTGTTACCAGTTAAATTTCTTGTTATATTTGCATTCTTATAAGTAAACATAAACATAACTGATTTAGTCAAATTCATCTTAGAAAAAATTTCCCGTTTATGATTCCATAAGTATATTTTAATATGAGATTAAAAATTGTATTTTCTTATAAATTTCAATGCCATCGCATTTAAATAAATCATAGAGATTACTTATGAAGTAATTTTATAAGCATTCAGAATTTTTGGAAATAAGAAAAATTTATAAATATTAAAATTTAACTTTATTTTATAAATATTAGAATTCAATTTTTGTTTTCCATATATAACAAATAGCTAAATAAGAAAATGTATAATTATTAGAATCAATCAAAAGAAGGAAAGTATAGATGTGACTCCTGTGCTAAAAGTTTTATGCTTCCATCTGCTTTAAAACAACACATGCTTTCTCATTCAAAGGAACGGCTATATTCATGCGATATTTGTAAGAAAATGTTCAGATATAAATTTAATTTAAATCAACACAATAAACGCAAGCATGCACAACAAGAAACTGGATCTTTCTACAAAGTACGTAGAAAAGTTTTTCAAACGTATTTTTTAATTAAGTATTAGACAATCTTTATAAAGTAATAACGATAATCTAACGTATAAATATGAAGATTTTGCTATAAGTAATAGATATGTATATATCCATGGTGCGGTTTTCTTTATATTCCTTTTAAAAAATCAATTTTTCAAAAATATTTCCTCAAAATTGATGAAATTTTATGGGTTAATTGTACAGAAATAACCACCGTTTTTTTGCGTGGACCGCATTTAATCAGAGACAAAGCTTTTATTTGTATTATTTATTTATTTATTTAGTAAATAAATAAATAAAAAATACAAATAAATGTTTTTTTCACAAGAAATGTATAAAATTACAGTACTGTATTGGACTTACAGTACCTAATTTAGGCCTATATACTGTACAGACAATAGTAAACTCAACTTACTCTCCTAAACTCTCCGTAGGGTGTAAGTAGTTCGGCTGCTCGTCTACTATTGGTCCAGATTCGACCAATTTTGTCGCGACACAAGTCGGCGATGACGTTTTACCGCATTTTACGAGTCTCTTTTAGCGTTTTTATACGAATACGGTCGCAATTTTTTCGCCGCGATATACGAATCCGCATTATATGAACCCGCGTTAAAAAGGGTCTACTGAATTTACAAAGGTCACCTTACTTGAAGGTAAAAATTCGTGAAAATTTTAAATATTGTAGAAATTTTAATTTCAATTATTATAAAAGTTAATTATCTCAAATAATATTTTAATTACATAAATGCGATCATACTGTTTATAATGTTTACCTTTAGGATAGCATACAACATGCTGAACAAGTGCAGGCTGAATCATTTCAAACACCATCAACAAGTGCTCAAGCAACAAGGTTAAGTGAATTCGAAGAAGTTGCTTCAAGAGAGATTATTTTTACACCAAGAGAAGTTGAAGAATTCCTGATACACTTTGACATCGATTCAGAAATTATGCAAATGGAAACATCTTCACAAATGGATCTCTTCTCAGAAACACTCGATATGATAAACCCTTACGTAAGATTACCATTGTAGTTATTCAAATGAAATACACTAATATAACAAACATTAAAACGACAACTCTGTAAAGAGATTGGTTATTATTGGCCTACCATTGTCAGGTTTACGCAAAACTCAGATTGTACGAAATGGCAAAACGTCTGTGATGAAATAGACACAAATTGAAAATATATGTTAACATTAGTAAATATTATAATATCTGAAAACTTTCATTCTAAGAAACTGTACCGTTCGCAGTCAAACATAAAAGGGTTATTTGCCGATCAATTAAATTTCACATAAAAACAGATAAAACATTTAAACTGGTCACCTTCGAAAACCATTTTAATTTTATGTTGTGCTCGCCGATAACATTATATTATGTAATTTCCCTATTGAAATGCCACCATATCGCTGGAACAGATAGGAAAAAGGGACAGTTGCGGAATGGGATTGAAGTAATTCGACAAAGTTGTTGTTGACCTCTTCCTGGAAGAGATGATGCTCAACGACTACTAATTAATATAATTATACTCGTATATTATTAATATTTCAAAAGTTTTCCGTGGTAGACGGGTTGTGACGGCCCCGCATGTGAAGAAAGTTGCTAGTCTTCATATAAAATTTGTTTTAAAAAAATCTTGTGTAAATGCAAGAATAATTGTTTATATGTGATATTAAAGTGTTTAAAAATAGATTGTATAAACGATGCGGGAATTATGTTCTTGTGAACCGCCGGGGAGGGTGTAGGTCTCCCGATCCGGCAACAGGTTGATGAACCTTCTCACTGTCAGGATGGGTTAAAATTTTGCTTTTCCCGCTGTAACGGGCTTAAGTGTTTCGGGTCGAGTGGCGGAGGGAGGAGTGCGTCGGTAAGATGACAGGCGATACACGAGCAAACGAGGACACCAATTTAACAAGATAACAACGATTTATTAGCTACATAGATACAATAACTAATTAATTACAATAGCTAATTTCAAAGGGAAAAATCTGAATCCCTGAAACGCGAAGGACCGAGAGAGAGTTCACAAAAATAAGTTCCATACCTCTTTATGTCTTTGAATATTCTTAAGGAAAAAGGTTTTGATATCCAACGATGTGGTAGGATTAGGATAATAATTTTTCTTCAGGACACAATATCGGATAGGACACAGTATATTAATAGGACACAATATTCTTAGGACACAGTTGTAAAAGTGACGGCGGATGAACGACTCCCCCGAGAAGGGGAAGGAAGGGGTTTTTATAAGTTCGGCGTGGGAGAATGGTCATGTGACCAATTGTTGTGAGGTAAAAGGTATGCAGATGGGTCAGAGTTGTTCCCGGGACCATGCTAACTATCAACTTTGGCGTTGGAATGTGGGATTAGTTTCGAATTGAACGGATGTTTATGTCGAACATAAACGAAAAGTTTTTTTTCCCGTTAGGTTCCACTTTAAGTTAAAGGAAAATTTAATTAGATTTTAAGCAAATACAGGACAATTGATCGACAAATAGTCGACAAAAATTCCGGATTTCACATTCTCATAAATATTGCGTTTATAAAAAAAAGTTATTCAGCTGCAATTTGAAAAAAATTGTAGACTAATAAATTTCGACTGTCGCCTATGTCTGACTGTTGTCTGTCATTTCTTAATCTGGAGAAACGAGTTAAATAGATGAAAGTCGAGACCAGGTGCCGAAAGCGTAGAGTTAGTCAACATTAACTATATAGACACTTCCAGTTTGCAACGGAAATCACATTATTTCGATTTAAAATCGTACTATTATAACTGAATTAATAGAAACTAACATAATTTTGTTACTGAAATATAAAAAGTTTAACAAACTTATAAAAGAAATAAAGTTAAATATCTGTAATTTTATAAACTACTATAAGAAATGAAATAACAATCGTAGGTTTGATTAGTGGTAAAATTTCCGGGGATCATGAAGATGCTACAGTTAAAATTCAGTAACGATTGGTTTAGTAGTTTTCACGGTTGGTGGTCACAAACGAAAAATACGTTGTCTGTTTATATAGTTGTATAGATTATAAAAAATGAAATAACAATCTTCATCTCCCAACTTTAACAAACGTGCAGTCATCTCTTAGGCCTTTATATATGAAAGCCACATCTTCATGTCATTGGGCTGTCAACGTTAAAAATGTGAAATAATTAAAATTATGCTATTAAGTTTTTTTTTTTACATTAAAAATTACAAAATTTTTATAAATTGTAAACAAAAAAATACACAAATTTTGTAACATTTTTTAAAATGTTCGAAAAATCTGGTTATTGTATAAATCGGTCAACTAGTTAAGCGTTATATCGCTGTTTCCGATAAAACGCCAAACGAACATTATAATTACAAAAATATTATTTATGAATGATGCAAATACTTTTCAAAGCTGTACAGTAATATCGTGAAAATTTTAAATATTGTAGACATTTTAATCTCAATTATCATAAAAGTTAATTATCACAAATTATATTTTAATTACTTAAATGCGATCATACTGTTTATAATGTATACCTTTAGGATAGCTTTCAACATGCTGAACAAGTGCAGGCTGAATCGTTACAAACACCATCAACAAGTGATCAAGCAACAGGGTTAATTGAACTGGAAGCAGTTGATCCAAGAGAAACTATTTTTACACTAAGAGAAGCTGAAGAATTTCTGGAACACTTTAACATCGATTCAGAAATTATGCAAATGGAAACATCCTCACAAAATGGAACTCTTCTCACAAATAGAAACAGAAGAAAATAAATTTGAATGCCAATTCTATAAAGAACAATTCTCTAACGAAATTTCTCGAAATGAACACGAAAGAAACTTTCATCACTTTAATTAATTTTTACAAATATCGGAAGATTGCGAGTGTTTTGTATTTTATAATGGAATCAAGATTGAATTATCGAAAAATTATTCTTAGAATATATTTATATGTAAAAATACCGTGGAAAGTTTACGTTGAGTTTAATTTATTTTAATAACTATTTCATAAAAAATTCTCAACTTGGTACGAAACAAAATTTAAATGTTGTTCTCTCACATTTAATTTTTCGTGAAAATCAAAAAGACTTAACTATCTGTAAAAATTTTAAATACTTATATTTCTAAAACGCAAACATGTTTAATTAAATAAATTAACGTTTAAAAAATTGAACGTTTGTCACAATTTAATGTCAACTTATTTTAACAGTAATTATTCTAAAAAATTATTTCATTTTAGACATAAATTCACGTCGTTTAAAATTGGCATGTTTAATATTCAAATCAAAACATGAGATGAAAATATATTACGCCATGTAAAAATAATGGATATTTACACGACACTCAAAGTTTTCCTTAAAAGATTTGCTTTGGTAATGATGAACTTGGCGATTGAAAGCGAAATGATTACCGCTTCCAAGAGCCAAGCTTATTTTTACCAAAGAAAAATTGCTAAGAAAAGTTTTGTTTGTCGTCTAAAATGTGTATTATTTACTTGGCTAACTTTTTATGTCTGAGATGTTTTCGTTTGGATATCAATTGTATTATTACGACATAAGACGATGGCCTAATAATATTATCCGGTCGGCGCTTGTCCAGGCCTATAAAAAGCCAAATGCGTTTTTTTCAAACGGTTTCAATCGGCCTAAATTTTAGCATCTGTAATTCAGGGTAACATTTTGAATAAAATTCATTTGTTATCGTAAAATTTTATCGTTATAAGCATAAAATTAAGCCGTAAAACTGAATTAGATCTATAAGGAAACCCCCGTGAACTTTGACCTGTCGACCGGAAGATTTCACGAACACTCACAGATAACAAGAATAGCTTTAGTTTAAAATTTGTGCTTTCTATACCTGGTAGTTTTTTCTCTTCGAGCGTCTGCTCTAGTTTTTTTCACTATAAAGATTTTTGCATTTTTCAATTGCTTCTATTTCGGTAATGCATTATAGAAAATCTTGAGATTCTGTAAATCTTGTAACTTTTTAAAAACACAATTTTCTTAGAAAGATTGCAGAATTGTCATGACTCCCTAAGAAATTTCAACTGCCATGTTTCCTGATATATTTGCTGTAAAGAATAATATATAATAACAAATAATTAAAAAAAATTATATAGCTTATACTGTATTATTTTTCATAATTACGACATAAATTAGATATAAAATAAAAATGGTGTAAGATGTAATATATATGTACAGTACATATATATATGTATATGTGTATTTAAATTCACGATTATTCTTCAACCACAATTACTTATTCTTGCAATACAATCTTACAGTTAATGATTAATGTATATAATTTTACTATAAATATCATATAAGCCTGTTGAAATATTAATTAATGCCCAAACTGAAATGGGGTGTTACCCCTCTCATTATTTTTGATTTAAAAATATCTGGTAATAAAATAGACTAGCAACGAGCGGCTCAATTTTCCCGGAAGCATTTAAAATTTTGAACGAATTTTATTAAAACACTTTTTATACTTTTATTACTATAAAATTTCAAAAAGCTTAATTTTGATGGCATGGAGAGTTTTATAAACAATTTTAAATGCTAATAACGTATAAAATCGACATTACGTCTGACCCTACTGGAAATACACATGATCTCTATTATAGCACCACCTACTTCATTTTTAACCACCAAAATTTAACACCATCAATACTCGTTACAAAGTAACCTACAATTTTTTTTTTTAATTTTCGACAGAAAGGACAGGAGTTATTGAGGGTCAAACAGAGTAAATTAAATCGTGTCACACACAGAAACAAACACACTAACCTCCATACATATAAATATTACCTCCGATTTTTTTCTTGCATTTCTCGACGTTTCAAAATGTCCTAAGTCAAAAAAATGTTAAAATTTAAGGGGTTTATCTTTTCACCGATCGCCATACTTTCCTTCTGTTATACATAAATGCAGGGAAAATAAAAATTACAGAATTATATAAGGTTGAAATTTTTTAAATCAAATTTGTAATATATTATTTAATCGTTTCTATAAAACTTATTACTATTTATAATCACTTCATACATTTGAAGATTTTTGTCGTAGCTTTTATACAATATGAAATAAACACATTCAATCTATAATGTAACAATCAACAAGGCCATTCATAATAAAACGTAAATGTTTTACAACGTTACCGTTGACGAAATCGATCGCGGATTCAATACATGTTCAGAACGTAGAAACAATTAATAGAAAATTGTACAATTTGTATTTAAATTTCAAACATATATAATTGAAAAATATGGCAAGAATTATATACAGTTGACCACCCTATAAGACAGTAGATACGTTCCATTCTTTAGGAATCCGATTTCTTACGAGTCCTTCCAATCATAGCCCGACACGTGTCAAGTTTACGGACTACTGCTGTTTGAAAGTTTTTTTGTCCATAAAATTAATCGATTCTAGACTAATCCGACTCANTAATTATAATAAAGTTACAATAAATTAAGTTAATATATAATTATATATACATTACCTAATTTATATCTAATTTATATATAATTATATGTACAGACGAAACTAAACTCAATTCACCTGCTTAAACGTCCGTAGCGTGGCGCTACGGACGGCGGAAAACTAGTTCGGCTGCCCAATGATGTTTTACGTAATTATAGGAGTTATTTTACCGTTGTGTACGGATACCGCCGCAGTTTTTTCGCCGTCTTATAGGAATCCTAATTATAGGAACCAGTCTTATAGGGCGATCTACTGTAATTACTACCATACATTAATTTATAAGGAAATTTTCCAATGTTTTTTCATTTAACTATACTGTAACTAATACTGTTTTACTAATGTTTAATTTTCATTAGTCGCAAATCAATGTACAAAAATGTTAATAATTTTTCATAAATTTTTCAACTTATATTTTTCAATGTTAAATGTCCAGAGTTAATTCGATTGGTGGAATTGTTTGTCGTGTTCCTTTAAAGAAATTTCGTCAGAAAATTGTTGTCCGCAAAGTTGACATTCGAATTTATCTTCACCGGTTTCAGTCTCTGAAAATAATTCCAGTTGTGAGGATGTTTCAAACTTTCTAATTTCTAAATTGATGTTAATATCTTTAAGAAATTCTTCAGCTTCTTCTGGTGTGAAAATACTCTTTTCTAAAGCCACTTGTTCATATTGAATTGATCCTCTTGCTTCAGAACTTGTTGATGGTGTCTGAAAAAAATCTGATTGCACTTCTTGGCCATGTTCTGTACTTTTCTAAAAGTAAATATCATAAATATTATGAAAGAATTTAATTTAGTAAATGTAAAAATACAAAATATCGTGTAAATTGAAATAATTAAAATGTAATTTAATTTACATTATATTTAAACTCCTTCAATATTAAATATTTTCATGATTCTTGTAATATTTTTTATGACAAAAAATTCTTTTGTAGAAGCGTGAAAGAACTATCGTGAAAAATATCGAAATAATTATTACGACTAAATTTATTTAAAATGTTTTTTAAAAGTAGATTTTCTTCGAATACAAATACATATATTGATGTAGGCAATTAACTCGATATAAATGAAATTTTATCCTTTCAATATTACTGAAAAATTAATCGATGATGAAATATCATTCGCATGTTAATAAATACGGATGATATTTGACCACTGATATTTCCTGTTCTAAGACAAATTTCAAAATTTGGCATTGGTCGTGAAATGCTATTTCCTAACTTCGATTGGTGTGCCAAATTTTCGTTTGAATTAATCATTTGGCCGCTAAACATGTTTTATAAATTTGTCAATTAGAATCGTTTCCGAAAAAGCAAAAAAGCATGCTCGTTAACTCGCTGCACTTCAATAAACATTATCATTTCATAAAGGTATATTATTTTCATATTAATTTGTTATCAGATATTTTCTTTAATGCAAGTAATATATATATATATTAATTGAGTATATGAAAAATTAATATTTTCGTAAATGTTGAAATTCAGTAACAAAGTATTAAATTTGAAGCTAAAAGTATTTTATTTCTCAGATTTATGATACAAAAAACTTTGGAGACAACCAATGACTTTAGACTTTATTGATATTTGTTAAAAGAAAACACATTTTAAAGTTTTATAATCTTCATCGGTATCGTAATCAAGATATCTGAAGTGCATTTTCCTGTATTTAAATGTAATATCAAAAAAGACTAAATTCAAACGTTGTCTCCAACGTTTCCTTATAAGTCCGAAAAATGAAACTGAAATGAAAATTGAACATAAAGCTAGAAGCTAGAATAACAATCACTAACAAAGTATTCGATGGTTCTGAACATTGAGGTTTATTAGTATCATTCATGAACATCAAAACATGAATACTGAATTGAAATTTTCAGACTAACTAAAATTTTGAAGGAATAAAGCACAACATTGCTACGGAGAACTTATCATTCAGGAATACTGTATACGATAGAAAAGATAGATTTTATATTCTGCTTATAAAACGAAATGCATTTCGGGTCATATCTTCCTCATTACAGTATTCAAGAGTTTTTGAAAGATTAATTTCAGAAAATTTCTTTACTTACTTTGGAAAAAGATTCGGTTTGTTCCTGTCGATGTACTGTCTTCAAGTGTTTATTTAAATGACTTTTATATTTGAAAGTTTTTTCACAAATATCACATGAAAATGCTCGTTTTTTTCCATGAGATATTAGGTGTAATGTCAAAGTAGATAACCATTCAAAACTTCTATCGCATTTATCACATTTATAAACTTTTTTTGGTGGAATCTAAGTATTATATAATTAATAACACATTAAAAAAGAAAATTGATATATTAATATTATAAAAAAAGTGAAATTTTTAAAAATTTTGTATATATGTTTTTATGCTGATGGAAAGGGAAGTTATTTGATAATTAATATTTACAATTTTCACGAATAAGCTATAACAGGTATATTTGTTAAATACTGTACCACTTTTATTTATAGTAATTAAATTTGATTTATAATTTATCATTATATTATATTTTATACTTTAATTTAATAAATTTGATAATATAAATATTTATCCAATTAATATTAAAATGTAAACATTATTCTTTCACTAATAATTTTTAAGAATCTCTTACTTTTAGATGTATTCGATTGACATGTTGCATCAAATTATCTTTCGTTTTTGCAGCGTATTTACAGTCTTTGTAGTTGCATTTGAATGGTCTTTCTCCAAAATGTTTTCTTTTGTGAATTAGTAAATTTGAAGACTGAGAGAATTTTTTATCGCAAATATCGCATACAAACGGTTTCTCACGAGTATGAACCCTCATGTGATTATCTAAGTTATATTTTGTATGAAATTTTTTTTCACATAGAGTGCATTCATATCTCCTTTTTCCATCCTTAAAAAGTTATTCATTGTAAAAATTATTATATATTATTAAGATTCGCAATGATTTTTACTTGAAATATTTTCTCTTTATATTAAAAGTTTTTAGTTAAATATATAGAGTTTTTTAATATGTAAATAATAAAAATGTCATACAAAACAAATTGAACACTTCACTTACTTTTTCTGATTGCATTTATAAAATTATTGATCCAAATTTTGAATTCACTTTATAAATTTTGAAAAGACGAAAAACCAAGAATGCATTAAATAATGTGAAATTTGGCAATTGTTCTGTCAGATTCTCATGTTGTGCCTGTTTGTTAGCATAAAAACTGTAAAAAGAAAAAAATTTAACATTACTTCTTCTTAAATGTAAAATGGGTAACGAAAGAAACTTTTTGAGGGTACCATTTCTGAATGAATTTCTTAAATTGTTTGCTGAATAATTTTGAAAATCTGTGACGTAAAAATTTCCCAAAAGAAATTATATTTATTCATAAATATTGAATGGAAAACATTGAATGTGCTCTAAATTATTGTAGTAACAGCGTTGAGGAAAAGTTTCAAAATTGGAGCCTGTTTACTACATGCATTGTGTTGCCTTTTTTTGGCCAAACCTATTAATAACGAGTGAAAATATAAAAATAAAATTTTCGAATTGATTTATTAACAAATTCAAATTATATTTGAAAACATTACCCATGAAATTTTCCAAATGAACGTTATTTATTTATTTATCACATTTTTGAAAATCTAACGAAAGAATTTTTTCAAAATTCAATCTTAATTCGTATATTAATTGCTCTGAAAATATTGGGATCAATTCAGGATTACTGAGCGCCGCCATCTTTAATTTAAAACTTAACTATAATTGAAAAATCATTCTTTCGGTCATTTTATAGGTTTTCCGGAAAAATTTTAATACTATATAACAGCGCTGTCCAACTTATCATAGTCCGCGGGCCATATTTTCTTCACCAAACATTTCGGGGGCCAAAAAGGTTGATAAACCACACGACATTTGCATAGTGCTACGGTTCAGTAAGCACTAATTGGTCAGCGAGTCCGATGTTGACGCTATAAAAAGGCGACAGTTTGACACACCGGATATACGTCACTCTCGTCTAAGTTCGACTTGGGAATTTTTTGTTCAATAATAAATGTGAATTCTTCTTCCTGGAAAAAATAAGACATTCCCTGAAAATAAGATCTAGCGCATTTTTCAGAGCAAAAATTAATATAAGACACTCTTATTTTCAGGGAAACACGGTAGTAAAATAATTTTAATATTAATAATAATAATTTAGTAACATAAATTTATTCATAGTAAAATGTACTCGCGGGCCGTAAAAGTTATTTGGCGGGCCGTATATGGCCCGCGGACCGCCAGTTGGACAGCGCTGCTATATAACATTGTAACGTAAAAGCTATCTATTGTTCATCGTAACATGTTTCAAAATCTAACTTTTCGTTTATTACTGAGCGCCGCCATCTTCAATTTAAAACTTAACTATAATTAAAAAATCATTCTTTCTGTCATTTTTTAGTTTTATCGAAAACCTTTAATACTATATAACATCGTAACGTAAAAGCTATGTATTATTTATCGCAACATGTGTGAAAACCGAACTTTTTATTTTTTGACTGGACGCTGCCATTTTGGATTTCAAACTTTGTTAAAATCGTAAAATTGTTTTCTCGGTCATTTTTTAGTTTTTTCGAAAAATTTCAATACTATAGAACATCGTGACGTAAAACCTATGTATTATTTATCGACACATGTGTCAAAACCGAATTTTTTATTTTTCAGTGAGTGCCTCCATTTTTTATTTCGAACTTTGTTAAAATTAAAAAATTATTCATTTGGTTTTTTTATAGTTTCTTTGATAAGTTTTAATACTATATAACATCGTAACGCGAAAGCTATCTATATATCATCGTAACATCTTTCAAAACCGAACTTCTCATTTTTTGAATGAGCGCTGTCACCTTAAATTTGAAACTTATGCAAATACCTAAGGTTCTCAATTATAAATCAAATATACCACAGACTATGAAATTTAATATATTGAAAATTTATATTGATAAAATGAAAAATAGAAATGGTAAAGTGCAAAATTCGGAAATTGAAATTGAACAGTTATATATATACATATATAACACTTTCCGCCCTGTGAGCACTAGGAGGGCCTATTATTGCAAGCCCATTATGAGTTCAACCAGGCCCACAATATAAAACACATCTTAAAATGAAACATCACATTAAAAATTCCCTTGAATGTGATGTTCCATTTTAAGATGTGTTTTATATTCGTATGTTCTAACCTGAAGATGATCTATTGAATAGATCGAAAACGTTCTTTTTTAATAAAATTTCCTCGGCAACGATTAAGGTGTTTGGTTACTTGATTAGTTCTGTTTTGCTGAGTACGTTTCTGTTTAACGATATTTAAGTATTTTTTTTCTTATTAAAAAACGTACCACATTTAAAAAGTAGCCCTCATAGATATAATGCCAAAAATGCTTAAAGATACTATCTATCGTGTTGAAAGCGTTTAAAAAGTTAAATTGCAATATATTTAAAATTTTTTTTAAATTTAGCATGCTAATCAAAAAGAATAAATAATCAATGAGAACGTAGACACAAAATATGCTTTTTTTTAAAAACTCATTAGACAACTGCAGAAACATTGAGAATTTAGTAAAAAAACAGAAACCTAAGGCTAGATCAATTCAATATGCTTACTGTCCGTCCTCTTCTGTTTTGATCTTCATCACTTCTAATTTCTTTGAAAATTTCCCTATGTATAATAATACTGACAATAAATCATTTGTATATATGTCATATATTGTCGGTAATAAATGTTTTATTGTAGTTTTTAAATTAATTTTTATTATGATATTTAAATAAAATGTGATTTTTTTTCTTGCTTATCGATGATTTGTTGTATTTCAGTCAAGTGTTTGCAAAATGATATCACGTAAAGTGATATCATTTTGCAGTTGACAAATAATTACGAACCAAAACACACTTTACTTTTAATATAAACGCCTAGAGGTGCGAAGTTTTAAACTGAAATTCTTTGAAAAATTACCACCAATTAATATTTTTTATAAGCACTACACTTATGTAATATTATAGGTTCTTATAAAGTATAAATTGAAAAATTATTTGTCTTTTTCGTATTTGAAAATATGCCTGAGTTTTCTAAGGCAACATCCCATACAAAATTCCTGGAAGGTTGCTTATCACGGTTCAATCTGAAGTCCCCTTAATCTGATTTTTTATCCTAAACCAACCAGCCTTCGATAGTCATATGCTGTACATAGAAACTGTTTTCAATACTATATAATATGTTTATTAATTAACAGCAAAAACTGGTTTTTATGCATCATTTTATTTCGTATTATTAAATACAGAATTACAGCAAACTATTTATAAGTACAGTCGACCCCCCTATAAGATCATAGATACGTTCCATTTTTTAGGAACCCGATTTCTTACGAGTCGTTCCAACCACAGCCCGACACGTGTAAAGTTTACGGACTACGGCTGATTGAAAGGTTTTCTTCCATAAAATTAATATATTCTAGACTAATCCGACTCAACATTTCCAAAATACGTATATATTTTTTGGAAATAATTCGTATAAACTACGCTATAAACAAAAAATTGTAGGATTACTTACTATTCGACATCGCCATTGCTAAAGCTTGTTTTCGTCGCGAAGCAGCACACCAAACCACGACCGATTTCTGATAACTTATTTTTATGCGAAAACTTTGTTGAACTTCGGAGACATCATTAATATAAATAATTTTTATCGCCGTTGAATAAAAAATGTCTCTTTCACAAGAAATGTATAAAATTACAGTACTGTATTAGACTTATGGTACCTAATTTACATACTGTACAGACGATAGTTAGCGTAAAAATCTCCGTAGCGTGGCGCCACGCTAGACGGAGGAAATTATATATTTAATTATAACAAAGTTACAACAAGTTAATATATAATTATATATACAGTACCTAATTTATATACAATTAATATATAATTATATGTACAGTACCTAATTTATATATAATTTATATAATACTGTCCAAACGATAGAAATCTCTCCGTAGCGTGGCGCTACGGACGGCGGGAAAGTAGTTCGGCTGCCCGATGATGTTTAACGTAATTATAGGGGTTTTTTTACTGTTTTTTACGGATACCGTCACAATTTTTTCGCAGTTTTATAGGAATCGTAATTATTGGGACCGTAATTATAGGGGGGTCGACTGTACTCTATTATAAAAATAAAATAAATTTACAAATGCAATTAAAAAGATCCTTTACATTATTACTTACAACAAATTATATTAAAATCAACAAATTCATACATAAGATAGTAATAGAGTTAAACCTCGATTTAACGGGATAACCTGGACAAGGGGGTTTCTGAAAGTCGAAACACCGATATATAATAAAGTAGTTTTTCTGAATGCGTGTGTTAAAAACTTAAAAAATTGGTTAGTTTGTGTTTCCACTTACGTAGATACGTTTGAAATTGAAATTAAGTAGGTTTGAAAAGTATAATTAATTTGAAAGAAATATCACATAATCACAAAGTTTCGCATTTTGCAATTAGCTCTTCAATTGTATTAAAGTAAAGAATGGTCTTAAAAACAAAATATTAATTTGACAAAAAAACACAAAACTATTCTATTTATTCGTTTTCCGATGATGATATGTTGAGACACAGTCTTGGGGTGGAGTGAGTAAAGAGATAAGACACTTAGGTTTGAAGTGAAACTAATTGTTAACTGAATCACATATAAAAAAACATTTCAAAGTTGAAAGGGTGTCAATTTTCACATATAATAAATAGACTAGAAAATTGTCTGTTATATCCGTTAAATCGAAGTTTTATTGTAACTACAAACCATATCCTCGAATAGGCGAAATTATGACAATAAATCATTTGTATTTATGACATATATTGTCGGTAATAAATGTTTTATTGTAGTTTATAAATTAATTTTTATGATAATATTTAAATAAAATGTGATTTTTTTCTTGTTCATTGATGATTTGTTGTATTTCAGTCAAANAGACTATAGAAATCTCTCCGTAGCGTGGCGCTACGGACGGCGGGAAAGTAGTTCGGCTGCCCGATGATGTTTAACGTAATTATAGGGGTTTTTTTACTGTTTTTTACG